CAATGCTGCTGACTGCAGGTATGTCAAAACAGTATTTTAACCCTAGTATGTCAAGAAAGCAAATAACAGCATTCTGACTTGCCAGTCCATGCCAAGTCTGAATGGTAATGCTGCCCTCAGGTACTGATGCTGCATTTCATGGGGAAAGACCACATAATTGCACAGTTTTTGCCACTATGTAGCATTCATGAGTCATTTCTGTAGCTTAGCTTACTGTTGCAAGCTGCTCATAAATGCATTAGTGTGGGATTAGGAAATGTGTTTCTTGGGCTGCACAGAGTAGATGACATGATGCTGGGTGGCCCATCTGATCAGAGTGTGGTTTGTGAGTGTCATTGGCCAATACAAGAAAATACTGGTTTCCTGCTAGTCATTGCATGGCAGGAAATATTCAGATGTTACCAGCTACAGGTGTATCTTAAATGTCATCCTACATAATGTCAGCCAGAACAGCAAGCCATGATCTGCATTGCAGAATGGGAAGCAGTAGCCTTGCTTGCACTTTTTGGAGCTAGTGTCATGCATGGATGGTCTGACGCATGTTACTTTAACATCATCTCTGTCATTGCCACAAAGCAGCTTAGTTTTATGTACCAGTTCACTTCCTTGTCATTCTTGATTAAATGCCTGTGATCAAAGGAACTGTTTCTAGCAGAAGTATATGCTGGAATATCTGTAAATTAGTTTTTCCTGTTTTGCACAAATTTATGTGATCGTCCTCCTTGCAATGTACAATGTTCACATGTCTCAGGTCCACTAGTAAATATTTTCATATAACGCTACCTATGGAACAGATTGGGCAGTTATGTCAATCTAGCAGCAGATTGATATCCAATTGCCAGTTGGATATTGCGGGGCGTCTCGATTACCATGAAATTTGGTGTGCAGGGCCTTCTCAACACGCTGATTCCGAAAATCACTGCCTTTGGGGTGGAATTTTGCGTAATTTTCGAGTTATATGCTGCGTAACATCCCAATGTGATATTGCGGGGCGTCTCGATTGCCTCCAAATTTGGTATGCAGGGCCTTCTCAACACGCTGATTCCGAAAATCGCTGCCTTTGGGGTGGAATTTTGCGTAATTTTCGCGTTATACGCTGCGTAACATCCAAATGTGATATTGCGGTGTCTCGATTGCCTCCAAATTTGGTGTGCAGGGCCTTCTCAACACGCTGATTCCGAAAATCACTGCCTTTGGGGTGGATTTTGGCGTAATTTTCGAGTTATATGCTGCGTAACATCGCAATGTGATATTGCGGGGCGTCTCGGTTGCCTCCAAATTTGGTGTGCAGGGCCTTCCCAACACGCTGATTCCGAAAATCACTGCCTTTGGGGCGGAATTTTGCGTAATTTTCGAGTTATATGCCGCGTAACATAACAGTTGGATATTGCGGGACGTCTCGATTGCCTTGAAATTTGGTGTGCAGGGCCTTCTCAACACGCTGATTCCAAAAATCACTTCCTTTGGGGTGGAATTTTGCGTAATTTTCGAGTTATACGCCGCGCAGAATCCCAATGTGATATTGCGGGGCATCTCGAGTGCCTTGAAATTTGGTGTGCAGGGCCTGCTCAACACGCTGATTCCGAAGATCGAAGTGCAGCGTCTCCACCACGGTCAGCAGCAGCGGGCTGATGTGGCCGGCCAGTCAACAACATGGGCATGGCGTGCACAAGTAGCATGCGCTGTTCCACCAGCGTCACCAGCATCCTTGGGAGATAAGACAGATGGTGACATCACCCAAATCTTCATGCTCCAGCGGTGAGGCACGATTGGGTTTGATCACCAGCGACATCCTGTCAGTTTTTGGTCAGGACATAAAATGCCCGTGACTACGTCGGACTATTACCCCACCACCTTAAAGGTCAGAAAAGAAACAAAGGTGAAAGCGATGCCACTAGGTGATACCACCGAGTCAGTGATATCACATGCCACACATTTATCACTCACATGTCGCGAACTGACCTTCTCCAGTGAACTGATACGGACAGGCCCAAAGGCAAATTCCAGGACACACTCCAAAGCGCAACTGAGGTATCACGCGTCGTATAACTCGGAAATTACGCAAAATCCCACCCCAAAGGCTCTGATTTTTGGAATCAGCGTGTTGAGAAGGCCCTGCACACCAAATTTCAAGGCAATCGAGACGCCTCGCAATATCCAACTGGCAATTGAATATCAATCTGCTGCTAGATTGACAGACGTCAAGCCTAAGGCTATCAAACGACAAGCCTGGTCATGGAATGCAATACGCCACGAACGCCGCATGACATATAACCCCGTGTTATATCATCATACATGCAAAAATCGTACATTCTGATGAGGCTTAACTGTTCCAGGACTCGCTGCTCATTCCAGAAATGTGTGCGAATAGCGAAATGACGGATAATTTCTTCTCAGCCCAACGGGGAACCGCCAGCCGCACGCCACCAAAACATGGGCGCAAAATGACCACAGTAATCGGCGCGCCCTAAAGCCCCAATCAACAACAACGCCACCAAAACATGCTCACTATTCAAACTAATGGGTTGTGTATCAGTCAGCTGGCTAACTGAGAGGCCTCCGTGCCACTGACGTCATCAAATATGGTATACTTAACGTCATGCAGGCTTTGCTTCCAAACTACCCCTTTTCTCAAGCAAGCTCTATGTTGCCACTTTTTCGGACCGGGCGGTTTTACCTCGCTAGATAGCCTTGATTCGAACTAAGCGGGATCGAACTATCGACCGTTAATCCGACGTAAAACCGGTCTCTCCCATGTAAATGCACCTCGGCGAGAGGTTTACGTCGCATGATCCGTTCTGATCTTAATTCGAATTACCCTCTGCTGCCCGTGTAAACCGGGTATATAATCTCCCTTGGGTGGTGACCCGAGGCAGCCCGCGCCGCCGTCCGGCGGTCGGGCAGTCGGCACTCCCAGCCGCAGCCACGCATACAACGGCACGCGCACAGCCGCCGGGACGGTGCGCCAGCCGGACGCACGCAGTCCGCCGTATCCAGCCCAGCGTACGAGCCCAGGCGCCAAACCAACACCCTGCCGGGGTAGCACAATAGCACACAAATTCGCTATGATGCCGAGAACTGATTCACCGTCCCTAGGCATCCTACGTCACCAGCGGGTCAGAGGGGATATGCAAACTGACAAACAGAACATTGCCTCTCATAGCTAAACCTAAGTTAACCCAAATATGGCTACATGTGATTGGATGCCGTGTAATTCAGCACAATTACATACGTGCACACGGAAAAGATAACCTTGATCACGAACGTCTCTGAACCTCCTCAAATAAGGACGAAGTCGAATACATTGATTTTTACTGGCTAGTTACATGTCAACAGTTTTCGGCTCACCTGGAGCGTCGCCTGCAGGAAGAAAATATCCACAAATCTTCACAATTAGGTGTATCATTGGTTGTTACGGAAAATACCTTTGATCTCATCGACGCCGTCGATCAGGATTTTTTGAGCCACCGCACCTGTTCCGCAGAACACGGACCCGTTGCGGCTAAATACACAGTGTAGCCGACCTTCCTTCTCGTGCACCAACAGTTTGTTGAAAATGTCCCGTTTACTCTGCATCCGACTCTCACTTATAAACAGTTCACTGTCCTCCTGATTACCTTTCAGTAACATTCTGCTCTCATAGAGGTAATGTCCTAGAGACCCAGGACTTGGGCGGACGAACCTGCACCCTGGAGCCGATGCGGCGAACGTCCGCCAGTTCGCCCGAGTCTGCCTCCGCCCGTGGGGACACGCCGCATGACGTCACAGGCCGCCCGCCTCAGGTCCTCGGGCGGCCGTCAGCGGCGGAGCCAGGGCGAGGCGCGGGCGGAACCGACTTCCCTGACAAGGCGAGTTCGGGCGACTTCCACAGCATTTCTCCGAGCCCTGCTTCAGCTTGCATGTTTCTGATGATTTGCTTTGAGGCGTTATCTTGGTCGTTGAGTTTCCCACCAGGTCTCCTCGTTTGGATGCATGCGCTTCTAGGTCCGCTACTGTCTGTTCTAGTCTAGCTTTGACAGCTTCTAGCTTCTTTTCCATATATTTTATGCCCAGCGAAATTCTTTCGTGATCTCGGCCAAAATCGTTCCGCGGTGTGACATTTTCTTGCCTGATCAACTTCATAACTTCGTCAAATTTGGAAGCGAGCAGACTCCAACTAAATGAGCCGTGCGAGTCTCTCGACCTCTTCTTGCGCTGTCTCACCTCGCTGGTTTCTATCTTTTTTAGCATATCTTTAACTGTCTTGTCAGATCGGCTTGTCTTACTAGTCGTTTCATCAGGGTCAACAAACACGTCGCTGTCTCCATTCCTCCGCCAAGGTGTGACCCAGGGAGCGACTGTGTAGTCCTTTTCCACTTACCAGTTGCAGCGCTTGAAGGATCACCGGCTTCTGACGCCTCGGGCCACGGTCTGCTGATGAGAATGTGCCGAAATCACTTCTTTTCACCACATTATGTTGTTGCCGCCCCCAGCCGGCATGGGGTCTGGCCTGGGCACACATTGACACCGCGCCGACGCCACACGAAAAACTGCCGATCAGAGCCGTGCGGCGGAGCGCGCGAGAAGAGCAACGCCCGTCGAAGTTTTTAACAGAGCTCCTTCACGTGATCTGTATCTGACAAGCCACGTGCTATGGGCACCACGCAGGGAAAGAAAGCAGAAACGCGCGAAACAAGACCACCATCCGCATTTATTGGATCGGGATTCCCACAAGCCACCCATCCTCCCGGCCACGCTCGGCGCGATGCACGGCAGCACAAAATCAAAGGGCAGCGAAGCGGGCGGCGCGTGCCAGGCCTGACCACCGACACCACCAGCCGGAGCGGCACCCGCTCCGTCATGCGACAGGAGCCACCTGGCGGCCGCCGAGCGCACTAACACCAGCGTCAGGCGCCGCGCCGGCCTGAGTCTGCACCGCGGACCGCTGGCGGCGACACGGCGGGCGCGGACCGGCCAGCACACACTGCCGCGGCCGGCAGCGACCGCCGCTGGGGCGGAGGGCCGGCTGACCTGCCCGCCACGGGGAATGTACGCGCCACGCGAGCCGAGCGCCGCGCGCGACGGCCCGTGATGGCGCGGCTCCGGCGGCGGTACATCTATGTCTTGGTCCTTGGCTTCAGCTCTTCGAAGCAGGCGTGCAGGAAGATGTAGTTCTTATTCATCGGACTGTAGAATTCGTGGCCCTGCAAACGGATGAAGCGACGTGGCAATGATCCCGCTGAATCGACAGTCAGGAGTGGGGCTGCACACTACTCACGGACCGAAAGTCGAAGGGCATACTTTTCAACAGTTACCAGGGCGGCGTAGGGGGTATCTCGAAAAAAGACACAGGCTGTCCTTTTGTAATAATATGACGCATGTTGGCAAGTTTTTAGCTGTCTGTGTCTTCTCGTCTTCTGAGTCCCGCATGGCGCCAGCCAACATCGGGCACACGCATAGCCCCAGGTGTCAAAAGGTCGACTGCTCATTTGATCCGCGCTGGTTATGGCATACGCTCCACACAGGTTCCGTACATGTCAAGTGCCAAAACAAAATAAAACTAGCGCCACTGCGTGGCTGACACCAGCGTCGGTCTTGGAGATGCTGGTGAACATGTGCACCTGAGTTTCGGTTAAGCTGAAAACAAACGCCCTCCAAGGTACCAGGCGATCCTGGGGAAATATACATCAATCAATTGAGATGCATGACTGTTTGTTTTTGTCTGTCCTTGCTCGAGTTTTCTGATCAAGGCTCTCTGCTAACCATCGGGACTAAAAAGTAGCTTGACGATGTTTGGTATCTATTGGCTTGATTGCCTTACGAGCCTGCAATGTCTCATGTCACGACGAAATCGATAAACGACGCTGGTTCACTTCAAGGGGTCAGAGTTGACTGAGGGTATTTTTCATGATGCGTTGGGTGGCCTTTCTGTTCTTGTAGTAGATTGTAAGCGTAACCTTGTCGTTCTGGTTGGCTGGCTTAACGTTTTCAGATATTATTTGCCTGAGGATGCAATAGCCTGTCTTAAAACCATCAGACATGTTATTCCGATGGGACAGCTAGATTGGATTTGGGCTTTGTTTGATGGCGTCATGAAAAATAACCTCACGGCCAACTCTAGACCCCTGAAAAGAACTAACATCCTTCACTAATTTCGTTGTGACATAGGGGATTGCAGGCTCCTAAAGCAATCAAACCACGCGCCACTGCCACCAGACTTTCAAGGCGGTTGACGATGCACTTGGCTGACGGCTCTCCAAAAGAGCACGTGCAAAAAGAACACAGTCGGAACATCAACAGGGACGACCTCACCAGAAACACTGTCATTATAACATCATCATGAAACAGGAGGAGGCTTTTGTTCTGGAGGCTGTCACGGTCAAAACAGCGTCACCGGAACAGGAGGAGGCTTTATGTTCTGGAGGCTGTCACGGTCAAAACAGCGTCACCGGAACAGGAGGAGGCTTTATGTTCTGGAGGCTGTCACGGTCAAAACAGCGTCACCGGAACAGGAGGAGGCTTTATGTTCTGGAGGCTGTCACGGTCAAAACAGCGTCACCGGAACAGGAGGAGGCTTTTGTTCTGGAGGCTGTCACGGTCAAAACAGCGTCACCGGAACAGGAGGAGGCTTTATGTTCTGGAGGCTGTCACGATCAAAACATCGTCACCAGAACTACGCGAGCAAACCAACCCTCAGTCACCCTTCACCTCATTTAGGGACGATCGATACCCTCCGTAGACGGCAGATCTTACTATTCACCACGTGTTTTGCCGCTTGAATTCTTAAGCTTCTAAAAATGTCAACCGCCTTATTTAGACTGTCTACAATTTGGCGATTGAACTGAACTTGATTAGACCTAATTGTTATACCTAACTGTAATATGTAATCATATATTCGTCACTTGTATGCTGTGTGTGTGTGTGTAACTTTGAAAATGAATTATGCCATTCCTAAACGTTGGTACAATCAATCGATGTTCAACATCGGCGAGCCACTTTTTAGTCTCATTGGTGAACAGAGAACCAAAATAAGAAAACGAGCCAGCACAGAAAAAAGACTTATAAAATGTAGCCACGCCATAGTCTGTAACAGCACCTGCATATATATATATATATATATATATATATATATATATATATACTGAACGTATTATGGAGACGCATTACAGCCGTCTGCCACACTAGGACATTGAGTACCATCCTCGCATCATTGCTCGACATATGCCATTAACCAACAGCTCATTGCACACTTCAGGTAAGTTGTTTTCATCGCACAAACTAAAAATGTCCAATCATGGGAACCAGATGCCTCGCCCGCCTACATCAAGCGTCCGGATGACACCTGACAGTCGAAGATTGCCTTCACATCTATATATGCAATGATATATGCACAGGTAAAATAAATAATACATCCCTGATGAAATACACATGATGGAATCGGCCGCCGCAGTTTAGTGAATTACGTCATACAACCGCATCATCTATGCGACTGCGGCGCGCCAATGTAGCGGGTCAGCGTACAACGCGCCGCTCAGAGGCGTCCGCCGTGTGAGCGCCGCGCCTCCACAGCTGGCCAGAGGTCAGGCCAAACTCTCACAGATACGACAGTTACGGCGGCAGAGAACACCACAAAAAGGCAGTAATAGGTAACAGCCTGGCGACCGATCACTCCAACACGTTTATCACACATGTATGGCCCGCTAGGGGGGGGGGGGGGGGGGAACAGCCATCCAAACCTTGTCAAAATTAAACATTAGCCCTTAGCTGTTGATAGTGGGGACAAGGCGCACCAGAGCGGGATTTGGCGCTGAACATCGGGCCCGGTGACCCGAGTTCGGTCCTGTGGCCAGGTGCCGGGGCGCGGGGAGAGGGCCGCGCGTCACGGTCCTGTGGCCAGGTGCCGGGGTCCGGGGAGGGGAGAGGGCCGCGCGTCACGGTCCTGTGGCCAGGTGCCGGGGTCCGGGGAGAGGGCCGCGCGTCACGGTCCTGTGGCCAGGTGCCGGGGTCCGGGGAGAGGGCCGCGCGTCACGGTCCTGTGGCCAGGTGCCGGGGTCCGGGGAGGGGAGAGGGCCGCGCGTCAAGGTCCTGTGGCCAGGTGCCGGGGAGAGGGCCGCGTGTCACGGTCCTGTGGCCAGGTGCCGGGGTCCGGGGAGAGGGCCGCGCGTCACGGTCCTGTGGCCAGGTGCCGGGGTCCGGGAGGGGAGAGGGCCGCGCGTCACGGTCCTGTGGCCAGGTGCCGGGGTCCGGGGGAGGGGCCGCGGTCACGGTCCTGTGGCCAGGTGCCGGGGTCCGGGGAGGGGAGAGGGCCGCGCGTCACGGTCCTGTGGCCAGGTGCCGGGGCCGGGGAGAGGGCCGCGCGTCACGGTCCTGTGGCCAGGTGCCGGGGTCCGGGGAGAGGGCCGCGCGTCACGGTCCTGTGGCCAGGTGCCGGGGCACGGGGAGAGGGCCGCGCGTCACGGTCCTGTGGCCAGGTGCCGGGGTCCGGGGAGAGGGCCGCGCGTCACGGTCCTGTGGCAAGGTGCCGGGGTCCGGGGAGAGGGCCGCGCCGTCACGGTCCTGTGGCCAGGTGCCGGGGTCCGGGGAGAGGGCCGGTGCTCACGGCTCCTGTGGCCAGGTGCCGGGGTCCGGGGGAGAGGGCCCCGCGCGTCCGGTCTGTGGCCAGGTGCCGGGTCCGGGGAGAGGGCCGCGCGTCACGGTCCTGTGGCCAGGTGCCGGGGCACGGGGAGAGGGCCGCGCGTCACGGTCCTGTGGCCAGGTGCCGGGGTCCGGGGAGAGGGCCGCGTGTCACGGTCCTGTGGCCAGGTGCCGGGGTCCGGGGAGGGGAGAGGGCCGCGCGTCACGGCCCTGTGGCCAGGTGCCGGGGTCCGGGGAGGGGAGAGGGTCGCGCGTCAAGGTCCTGTGGCAAGGTGCCGGGGTCCGTGGAGAGGGCCGCGCGTCACGGTCCTGTGGCCGGGTACCGGGGTACGGCGAGGGGCGCTTCGGTGATACCAGAGTCCCGACAACCGGCGACAAATTAAGATCACATTGGATCATTTCAAATGTGAACAGCGGAAGACCCGGGGAATCCGTTCGTGGCCACCTGTGAGAAAATCAATTCGAAAAAGGTTCCAGATACCGAGCTGGAACGATAAAGGACGTGGGTCACAAATGGCTGCGCAGGAATGTGATTGGGAGTCCGTCTGTTGCGCGTTCGAGGAAGTAAGTGCCATAACGTTAACAATTATCCGCCAGTAACGCTGCAATATTGGCAAGCCATTCGCCCCTCCACCCATGTTCCCAGCCTGGAACTGCGCTGCAGTTTATCACAGAGCTGGCGTCGCACTTGAGCACGAGACCGTGTTTGCGCCCGATTCTGACCAGTCCAAGTCCCGCCCATTTTCTCAGAAGACACGCCCTGTTGACGGCTCGCCGAGGGCAGAGTTCCCACCAATGTGATGGCACGACACAGACGCGAGTCACCAGCGAGCAACGGGAAATGGCGCGGGCTAGCGAGGCAGGAGACGTGACATGACACCGCCTGACACATGACATGCCACATGACACGACCATGCCACATGCCACGATATGCCACCTGACACGACGCGGCATGACACATGACACGACGTGACACGACATGAAACGATTTGACACGACGTACCACGGCGTGGTACCCAATGACGCACACGTTGCGGCTCCCGCGGTCCGAATTTCCGGCTTTTACAAAGCTGTTTCAAGGGCGAGGAAAACCAGTCCTATTCATTTCATGCCCAACGCTTGGACACAACCCGTGGAAAGGCCGTGACGGGCACAATATACTGGCGACAAGCGCGCCAACGACGCACCAGGCGCCTTACAGGCTGCTTTATGTTCATCGCCTCGCCCGAGCCCTTCCGGTCGTCACCGGCGGCGCGGGACGGCCTGGCTGCCCACAAGGCTGGGCCGAGGCTCAGTCCGCGTGTGGCCTCTTCCGGTCACGCCGTGCCTCACACCCCGCTGCTGACAACCCTCCATTGTCTGGGGCGATATTTCACCCGTCCCATTCAGGTCTTGCATAGCAACAATTTGCCCACATCGGGGTAATATGACGCCTGACCATTTTAAATCCAGCCATTCACGTCTGAAACGACTGCCAAACCCACCTATGCATCAGAACCGAGCGCATCGTACTGCATCCCAGCTTCCACGACAAAAAAGACGCCAAGATAACCGACGGTGGACAAAAAGCCGTCTCTGGCAGAGAGTGCTGCGCCAATGCACCCCGCATTGCCGAACGCAGAGCGGCACCAGCGCCACCTGGGCGGCGACAGGCGAGGCCCGAGTCACCTACTGCCGCCGGCCGGTCCGGCCGTGTTCACGAGACGGCGGCGCAGTAGGCCGCGTGGCAGTCTCGCCACCTGGCCCACGGTGAGCGGGGCCTTGCTCACCTTGGACCAGTCGTAGCTGACGGCGTAGGCGAAGATCTGGCCGGTGTGGTTGAAGGCGCACTTGGTGATGGGCTGCTCCATCATCTCGGACGTCTTCAGCTTGGTCCTGGCGTCCTTGTCCCAGTAGCTGAAGCGGCCGTCGGAGCCGACGGTGGCCAGCGTGCCGTGCACCGGGTGGAAGCGGATGTCGTTCACCTGTGGACCAGCCGCGGGCCGCGTCACACACTGGCAACAGGCTCGTGGGCGTCAAGGTCACTTCTGCGTCCGACGAGCGCGGACGCCCGGGCGGCCAGGGTGGCCATTAGCCCAGGATCCCCCTAAAAATCCCCCCAGGATCCCCCTACTTCAATAGATCAGTTCCTCATACTTAATGAGCCTTGACGACCATGCAGTGGGCAGTCCTTTCATGGAATCACATAAATAAGATGACCGCGCCCAGCCCTTCTGATTCGGTATGCGCATCTGGTTCGCCTTTCACTCAGGTACATAGCGTTGCTGAACAACGCGTGGGGTGCTCTTGGAAGGAAATGAAAGCGAACACTGCTTCCAGCAAGAAGGGTTACAGAAATACGTCCGAAAAACCTTCAGATCAAAAGCCAACTAAACGTTTGGTTACCAATAACTGGCGTAACACGAGAACTGATTAGGTCACCAATCCTGGTTAAAACAGTCCACTAAAATTTCCCACAGGCTTTGGAAAATATAACTTCTGAACCATGTTACCACTAAACCAGCAGAGAAGTTCCCGTCCAACAGATAATTCTGGCTTCGGTCTTTCATTCAAACGGACCGACGAACTACTGATGCAGCACGTAGCGCCATGCCCCAGTCGCCCCCCCCCCTCGGCCAGCCACACACGCGCGGCCGCGCCGGTACGGCACCCACCGAGAAGATGTCCTGGTAACCGTTGTTTGTGCCGTTGGAGCGGTGACACTTGAAGGTGAAGTTGTCCTTTGGGTTGGTGGGGTTCACGTACTGGATGGCCACGCGACCCTCCACACTGCCGATGGCGTAGCCTGGGGGCACGTCAAATAACCACTGCGCGTCTTGGAAACCAGGGGCATGCCGCCACACGGTTAGAAGGTGCCCCGGGGAGACGCGACGGTGGCAATGACGTCGGCGGCGAACATTGGGCGTGCCGTGGTGCGAAGTGGGGTATGCGGACGCGTTCGCCTCGGGCCTGTGCCGTATTCAACATTCACACCCCACTCGCCGTCCACCAAACCGGGACAGCCACCAATGACCGAAGACACATTGGCCTGTTGGGCACTGGCTAGAAATGAATTGCCACACCGATAAGCTTATACGCGATGAAATGCTAATATTTAGTGGCAGCAGGCAGCCCTAAAGTGACCAGTTCCGAGCATGTCAGCTGCATACCATACAGCCACTGCGCTATCTGTATGGTATGTAGTTCAGCTGCACAGTACACGCAAATCGCGTTTTGCGCAGTTTCTCCACACGTAGCTCTAGATCGCTCTTCGTCCACAACGCCCAGACTGCCCCCAACCGCTGGCTGGCTAGGTGGGTGGCTGGTTGGGGGGGGGGGGGGGGGGAAGAGGCACGGAAGAAGACTCGGCGCCACCCACCGGTGGGCCGATTCATCTTGTCGCGGAAGATGGCGATGCAGCGGTGCTGATAGCGCAGCGACGACTCCTGCGTCTTGAACTGCTGCGGCTGGCCCTCCAGCTGGTAGACGACGATGCCACGGTTGGCCGTGCTCACCACAGCCATCGGGTAGTCGACGTCGGCGCAGTAGCACCGCTCCGGCAGTGCGATCGACAGCATCGGGTTCGGCGAGCGCGTGTCCCAGAACTGAAACACGCCGCGGGTGCTGCGGTGGGAGCCTGGTGGCAGGGGTGGGAGGGGGGGGGGGGGGGAGCAAAACGCAGAAGCGAAGACCCGGCACGCCGCAGGCGAATCGAGGACAAGGGATGAGCCACTCAAACAGAGTGCGGCACCGCCAAACCAGCACCGCCAGCAAAAGCCGACCACACCGCGCACTATAACATGGGACTGCAGCCATGCCCCCGAAGGCTTAGAACGGTCACATATCTTGTCATAATTACGAGATGTCCTATCGTCGCCCATGAGCACTACCAGATTTCCTTACATTTACCATGTCCTAATCTCCCCCAATCTCCAGTTCCTGATGTACGCTCCAGCTGCCGTCGATTCACCCCTCGACTCAGTTGGCCATCAAGCTGGAACAAGGCCGTTGCCGATCGTGGCAGATACCCTATACGCCGCCCGCAGCCGCCATCACCATCGCCACCTCTACCATTTTCGCCGCGTGGCTGACAAAAACTGCCGCGCATGGGACTCGAACCCACGACCCTCGCCCTGCCGCTGTCGCGCCGCCCACCTTGAGCGTCTTGTCCCAGGAGCCAGTCATGATGGCCGTGTAGTTGGGCGCCTTCACCCAGTGCACGGTCTTGACGGGCGCGTCGTGCTGCGCCACCTGGATCGTCTGGTTGCTGGCCAGGTCCCAGCAGCGCACGGTGTTGTCGCAGCCCGACATGAACACCTTGGTGCCGTCGTCGGCCCAGGCCACGTCCAGCACGGGACCCTGCATCGCCTGCTGAGCCTTGGGCGTCGTCTTGCCGCTGGTTTGGTCGATCTCCCAGCAGCGCACCTGCCGGCCGACCACCGCCATGGTGACGATGGCGATGGCTGGAGCTTGGGAGCACCGTGAAGACACCTCTGGCGGCCGATGTAAGGCGTTACTCCGTTAACAAGGAGCGGTCAAGAGCGATCGATGGCAGGAAGCAGGTGTGGGCCTGTTGCTGTTCGTTAGTTTTTTGGATGTGTCAGCTGACGAGACCATAATGATGAGGCTTGGCAGACAGTTCCAGTCAAGTTACGACTGCGTAATTATAAAGGAAAGTAAATTTTAGTGCAATATTATCTTATTCAATGGGTACACCATGCACAATCCCAAGTGCGTCATACTTATTGCGCTGCCACCACCAGCTGCCAGTCTCACGTTATTATCCCAGCTGCCAGCCACGAGGAAGGTCTGCGGGATGGCCGGCGGCGAGAACTCCAGGCAGGAGACGGAGTCGTCGGGCGGCGACACCACCTCGATGTCCTTCATCGGGTTAGCGGCGGTGGTGGCGGCCGCGGCGCCGAACACCGAGCCCGAGCCGCCCAGCCCGCCGGCGCCGAACATGGTCATAGCCGGCCGCGCGCGCCCTCAGCCCAGCCGACACCCGGCCGTGTCACGTGGCGCGCTGCAGGGATCCGGCACGGCAGGGGCCTCGTCACGCTCTGGGAACAGGCCCAGTGGCCACATAGTGGTCATGTGGACACAGCTATAAAGGAAGAATGACGCTCTGCTCGAGATTCCACCACCCACTAATACTGCTTCCCTGGGGAATGCTTGTTGGCCTTCAATAGTGCCTGATTTTAGCATTGATAATAACCTAAAGGGAATGTTGTACATTTAAAGATATTAATGCAAGCATCAGATGTGATGAAACAAGCTCATTTATAGCCATATAATTTATCAGTAATAAATATGCTCCTCAATATGTTGTTGCTTAATCACGTCACCATATATTGCACAACATTGGTTGAGAGTCAACTGCCAACTGTTATATCTGGCGATTGTGCTCATGAGCACCAGATATGAGTGACTCAGCACTTGTACTTTCTTGGCCTTGATCATCGCACCACTAATGAAATTAAATGACACTTGCATTATGTTATTGCAGCAGCATGGATGCTTGCATGACTTTGAAACAGTCTGCTAAATAACCTGCACAGCACTGCAGATGTGTTGCTCAGAAAGTAGAGGGCTCAGGTCTTGAGAAGAACAGGACTGTGCACTGCAAAAAATGATCTTCAAGATGGCTAATTAAGTCAAGCAGCAGGATATCCCTGGATAAAAGACTCATATCCTTTCTTTTGAACAGCAAAACAGTGGCAGACAATCCTCCACACACTTTGAGGTATTAGGATATAACTACATCTAACATTGTTACTTGGAATTTGATTAGGAAATAATTAAAAAGAGAAAAAATTAAAACCAAACTTGTCTTGTAAAATAAAATTCATGAAAACCTCAAAGCTCCATCCCTGCAGCCACCTGCTGTGAATTATTCTTCAAGCAGCATCAAACAAGACTGTTTTCCAACAATGAGGGCTACCTTTCTAACTGGGTTGCATGCTTTAGTACTGAACAGCTTTAACATGCAATATTTTTCTCAACATCTGAAAATAAATATCCAATGCTTTAAACTACTTAGGTGGCTAGGTCAAAGCAAACAAACCTGCAGCCACTTCTACCTGGAAAGAGCAATGATCATTCACCAGTTATTGCTTAGAAATTTGATTCAAGAAGATTCACATAAAATGTTTTGAGTAGCTATCCATTTTTTACCTGATGTAGCATTTCAATGGGCACACCATGTTTTGTAAGCAGACTGCAAGCAGGCAGCCTGCCATGAGCAACTTAATGATGCTTTTTACAGCATTTATCCATGCAGCCTGATAACAATTCATATACTCATATGTGTTAACATAAATAGTGTACCATGCAAATCATAACATACAATTTATAAAGCAACTTGGGCCTGTGACATTCCATCTCATCAATGTCAACCAAATATTGGCACAGGCAACAAATGACATCAGCACAATTCAAAGCATTCCAACACATTAACAATAACCAAGGTATTCAATCCTTATTTTTGAAAATTTGTGACAAAGGGCACTCACAGGTCAGGCACATGTTATGGGTGCAGCCTTCACCACTTGCTAGCAGCAGCATTGCACCAATGTAACCATATAACCATGCAAACACATATTTGGAAGCACAAAATACATGATTCAACCTGCCCCCATACAGCAATAAACATCCGGTTTAATAACGGCCATAACTTGTTTGACTGACAAGAACTGGCGCGCACTGCTGCACGCCACCAACCAGCCACCTACTTGCGGTTCCACGCAATGCACACACAAAAAGAAAAATACTTACTGCTAAGCTGCAGTAGTTCGCGCCCGGTTTCGTCAATGTACAAGACTGCTTCGCTGACTTCAGTGACGAAAGGCCCGTCTTCCGCGCGGAACCCCCGTAACAACGCGCGCCACACAGGATTTTGGGTATGTATATGCTTCCTCTTTAAAGCAGTCCTGCACGACTTTTTGTCTAAACCGCGCCATACATGTCGTCTTCAATGGCATTGTGTTCGACTTATGCGTGCGCGCAAATCATACCACATTTAACCCAATTGTAACACAAAATGTTTAAATTTCTAGCGACTGATTGGTGGTAGCTCTTGTTCGGGCTATTGGATACCGTGTACACAGCTATTGAGCAGCGCTTACGTAATATTCGTCTTAGAAATGAGCATGGTGCAGAATTACGTAAATAACGCTGGTGGCTGGCAGTGGTTGTGGGTATTTACGGTGGGCTCGCAATCGCGAGCATTCCAGTGACGTTCTTGCCAAGTGACATTGGCTGTCCTTTCCCGTTTCAGTATGCTTGGAAGAAGGTTATTTAAGTTCAAACCTCGTGTGAGCCAGGTGAGAAGCCTGCTGAAGCCATCGAAGGAGTTTGGAAACTCCATAATATTGCTGCAGGATGGACATTTTGTGCAAGAACTTCCTGTGCTGGTGCGGCATACCAGCGATCATTCATTCATCATGGGAAACTTCGGCCCTGACCATACTCCACCAGCAATTCCCTCATTGACAGATGTGAATATAGATGTGGGTGGCTCTGGACAAGTTGACATAGAGTGCTGTGCAATCACGGATTGTGAAAAAGAATTTGTTGATGCGCTCGAGAGGACAGAGAGGGTTAGACACATTTACAGTCTTCTTGAAACTGCGACCATTGATGGTGTGACTCCATTTGTGGCACTGCAATCACTGATACAGATTGCCCATTTGGAAAGTAGAGAGGATGAGGCTGAATTGGAGAAAATGTTTGCAAGGCAAGCTGTAATTCAAAAGCTGATGACAACCATTCTTGATGGAAATGATAATGAGTCTTTAGTGAACACATTCATATTCATGAAAGACCTCAAGCCACTTGGAAGTCTTTCTGCCCTGTGTGAACAGCTGAAGGCACACTGTATTGACAAGGGAGCATCTGGAAAATTAAGCATCCAGCAAATTGCAAGGCTCATCAAGGGTCTGGACTCAGTGTATGGTCCCAAGTCTGCCATAGCTGACCAGCTTTGGCAGGGAATCAAGACCCAGGCATCTCAGATAGATGAGTCAAACATCAGTGAGGTGTGCTCAGTCCTCCCTCTCCTGAAGCAGAGCAGCAAGGTGGTGTTCCATGCTGTCATGAAGCAGCTGCCAGGGTTCTGGTGGAAGCTCTCCCCACACTCTGCCTGCTCGGTGATGGACTCTCTGTATGCCTCTCGCCTGAGCTCGCCTGAGCTCTGCCGTATCCTCGTGCGCTGGACCTCCCTGGCGCTGCACCAACTGAGTGAAGAGCACCTGCAGGTGGTGCTGGCCTTCTTCTCGTGGGCCGACCACTGCGACGACACCCTGCAGCGTGCGGTCGAGCGCTACTGCCACGCGCGCGGCCGCGAGCCTCTGCGCCCGGCCACCGTCGCCGCCGTCGCTAACTTCGCGCTGCGCTTCAACGTCTGCTCGGACGTCCTTCTGGAGACAGTCAGCGACCAATTTGTGGCGCATCAGGCGCGCTACGGCGCGGCGGAGGCGGCGGCGGCGCCGGCGCAGGCGCGGCGGCTGCTGCGCGCGGTGCGACCGCCGCCGGCCGATGTGGCGGCCGTGGTGCGCGCGCTCGGAAATCTGGACCACCACCCGCGGGATCGACTCGGCTTCTTCGCGGCAGTCGAGAGTCGGCTGGCTGATGTGTTCGCCGCGCTGGACGCCGAGGACGTGCTGGACATCTGCCTGGCCTGTGTCTATCTTAAGCGCTACCCCCTTAACTTCTTCCGTCAGGTGAGGTTACCGTTTGGCGACGCGTGTAACCTTTCAGGGGATGAGACCCATCTAAGTCTTTCTATGTGATGCCTAGAGCAGGCAATAGTAGTGATCATTAAATCAGTTTTAACCCTCGCTAATTAGAGTAATGCGAGTATTTCCCGTTGGTTTGAATGTCTGTGCATGAATGTTTGTTATGTTGCCATTACTTACGTTATATAAAAACATCGGCCCGCGCACCATAACAGTATGGACGCGAATGCCGCCACGCCCTCTCTTAACACATTAATAGGATGGACCTACTGCTGATCGGTGACACTTCTTAATTCTTTTTTTGCTCGTGGTTTAAGTGAGTAGCTTTCCGTAGGCTGGGGCCAACGTTTTGCGAAAATATTGCAATGTGAAGGTTAAACAGCGCATAGCTAACAAAGAGGCCAGTGCACCAGATCAGTTGGGGATGTTGCGACGGTCAGTACACCAGATCAGTTGGGGATGCTGCGACATGTCCATAGCTACACAATCAGCTATCGCTGGGCCTAGTATCTTGAAATAATTAAATCATGCGCCCATGTTCGGCTTGCGTGTGTGTGGAGTGTAGGCTTCCGGTTGGCAGTTCCCGTGACTGGGACAGATTTCATTTCTCGTGATTCAGAGACGGCCCCCAAGCGCCGCCCCATGACACGCCGCCTCCCCGCCAGGTGTTTAACCCGCTGTTCCTGGGGCGGCTGTCTCCGTCGGACGGCGCGGCGCAGCGGCTGCGCACCAAGCTGGGCGTGCTGGACGCCGCGCTGACGGCCGAGTGCCCCGGCTACCGGGGGCCCATGCTGCCGCGCGACATGAGCGCACGCAGTGTGCTGCGCGACGCGCGCGCCTCCCGGCTGGCGCACGCACTGCTGCCGCACCTGCAGGCGGTGGCGGGTGTGAGCGAGGTGGCGGCGGCGCAGCTGCTGCCGCAGCTGCCACTGCACCCGCTGTACGTGCCGGACCTGAGCTGCCGCCGGGCCGACGGACGCCGGCTCTGCCTCTTCCTGAACGCGCCCGAGCTGTACGGCCGCGGCGGCGGCCGGCTGGTGGGCGCCGTCCAGCTACGCCGCCGACAGCTGGCGCGGCTCGGCCGCTCGGCCGTCGACCTGCCGCTGCAGCAGCTGGCGCAGCTGGTGGTGCACCCGGCGCTGCTGCGTCGCCGCCTGGAGGAGGCCGTGGCCGCGGCTGACTGATGCCGGGGGGCGCGCGTGGCAGGACTGGGGTGGACGGCGAGCCGGGGCGCGGCGCCGGACGGGCTGTGCAGAGCCGGGACTTGTGATATGTGATCCGGGGAATGAGACAGTGACTGCAGTTTAGTGTTGTCACATGCGTTTTGGTGGGAGCAGCGGCGTCTTCCCCCCGCTTAGCATGCCTTTTTGTGTGTCTAGTCGTCAGCTGTGCAATGATGGGTGGTTAGCCTCGCCCGTCAAAGTGTGTTGTTATGCAAACATCCGTGCAGAGTCAGTCTTGTTTCGGTCTCTTCTGAAGTGCCGATGTGTATCGTGCATAAGCTGGACGGCTGATGGTTGTCAGTATTGTGGCAGATGTTTCGAGCGACTCGCACGGTTGCCTTCCCAAGGACGTGGGTGCCGCGTACATGGGTCGGGTGGAAGACTGCATACGCTTGATGATGAGCACAGCTCTAGCTATTGAGTACTGCGAATATAATCGTTATTTAGCATGACGACGTCGTTTAACCAGTACCTCCTAGTATTTTGGAGGTCACTGACACACTATAAGAACAATCAATTCATGATGCACATTTGTTTTGGCCCCCGCATGCTTTGTTATGAAACCCGACGATGCTCGTGACGGAAGCAAAAAGAAAGGCGCTTATTCGTCATCCTATTTATATTCTATTTCATTCATGGCCAGGGCGCTTCCGGCGTCAGCGACCTTCGTGGGCGGCAAACAGAGCGCCGACCCGGGCAGTGCTCCGGCGCCAGGCGGGCCGACGTCACGGCCGGCCAGCCCGGTCGCCGGGTCAGCCGGCGGGTCAGCGCAGGTTGACGGTGGTGGCGCACAGGACCTGGTACTGGTGGTGCGAGTGCTCCTGGCCGCCGTACGGCACGTACACCGTGCCGTGGTCCGGGTTCAGCTGGGGCACAGGCACGTCAGGGTGAGGCAGGGTCGACGGATAAGACACCGAAACATGAAAGGCTCAGCCGGCGCGGATATGTGGCCTGGGGCTAGCCTGTGCACTGAGCAAAGCATGGTACACACGCGCGAGTTTGGTCATATTATTAGCGTCACGCAATGCTATCATAATTATCAAAGTGGACTTCAAACAACGATTGGATACGATTGACTTTCCACAGCACGAATACTGGCACTTCCAAGCACTGCATCATGGAGGCACAGTGGCTCTCACAAAGACAACATAAAACACGGCACGCAACTAGCACTGCCTTACATGTCCACAGCACCAGTTTCCATCGTGTTCGGCACGTGCCACGAACAGTGGCTGGCTGTCCTTGTTGTAGCCGCCTTGTAGCGCGCCGCGCGGTACTTCGCCGTCGCTGGCGTCCACCCACTCCAGCCGCTCGTTGGTCTTCACCAGCGCCTGCCAGCAACGCCAGTCGGATGAAGGCGCCGACGAAGCTGGGACTATCAAAATCGACGCATCATTTCGGTCGCTTGAAATTCTTTTGAGTACAGGCAGCCTAGTTCAAGAATAAACTAGAGGGGATGATTCACAATGCCAAGTTATGTTTTTCGGTCTTTACTTATGTATGAAATCCGATATATATCTGTGTGTGTGTGTGTGTGTGTGTGTGTGTGTGTGTGTGTGTGTGTGTGTGTGTGTGTGTGTGTGTGTGTGTGTGTGCGTGCGCGCGTGTGTGCGTGCGTGCGTGCGTGCGTGCGTGCGTGCGTGCGTGCGTGCGCGCGCGCGTGCGTGTGTGTGTGTGTGTGTGTACGTGCGTGCGTGCTTGCTTCTGGCTGGTATATTCGGAATCCTGCTCCACCTTGTCTTTTTTGCCTTGCCTTTTTTTGCTCCGTCTCGCTAAACCCGGAATTAAGCACGATAGCAAGGGCAAACAAAGCTGTTTGGCCTGTCCAATATATCAAACACACACGGCCAGCTCGTGCCAGACCCGGCCCTGGGACAGCCACCTCCTGCGGCAGCGGCGGCGCCGGCTCGCGCGATAGCGGGCGCTGGCCGCACCTGATACGTGTCGATGGCCACTTCCTCGCCGTAGTAGGGGATGTAGCAGGTCTTGTGGTCGTGCACGATGCGACCGATGCAGAGCGCTCCGTCGTGGTAGGCGCGGCCCACGAACTCGGTGCCCTCGTTGCCCTCGCCGGAGACAACGCCGTGGTCCGGCACGTGGCCGTCCCGCGCCCACTTCCAGCGCGCCGGGTTACGGAAGCGTGGCTCTGGAACAGCAAACGGCGGGTGAGGCTGGGAAGGATGAGAGCCAGGGCCAGACCCACAAGCCGGGGGACGCGGGGCGGGTGGCGAGTAGCATGCTTTGTAGGTCGGTCGCACAGTCTGCGTGTGTGTACCAACCCAGCTCTTGGTACAGTAATGCATGCGGTTTACATGCTCTGGGACATCTTGAGTTGTGTGTTGGGTTTAAGATGCATGGAGTGTCATGTGTCCGATATTGTATCTTTTGAGCAGACACTGTCAGCAACGTGTTTGCGCGTTATATCTTGTCTTTGTCCTAGTATCGACGACATAACTAGTGCGCCGTGCTCTTCTCATACGTCATTGTACTATCCTCTCAAAAAGAGGACCGACAACGGTGGGGCCGGCGGCACGTGCCTCCGATCTGTACGAGGTGCTCATCAATCTCTTAGCCTCCTCTCCCCTCCCGGTCTCTCGCGCTTTCCGCTCCCCGTCACCTGGCCGACCCGCCGGTCCCACCGCTGCCACCGCCGCGTGGCTGACCTGAGTTCGTCTTGATCTCCGCGGCGTCTTCGTCGCTAGACGAGGACGAGGACGAGGTGCTGAACTCGTCCTCATCCGGGAAGTTCCAGCTGCCGCTGCCTCCGGTCTCAATGCGGATGGCGTAGTGGGTGATGGGCAGCAGCGCGTCGTCTGTGTGCGTCATGAAGGGGAAGCGCTCGCCGTCGCGGCCCACCAGCAGGCGGCCGTGGTGCGGCTTCCAGCGGACCCAGAAGCCGCGCAGCTCCCCGCCATCCAGTATGTCGGGCGTGTCGCACGACGCCACCTCGTCGCCGTTGCGGCTGCGGCCCCACAGATGGCGAGTCAGTCGCGCCGCGAGATGGCATGCCGCGTGCGAGGCTCTTTTTTATTAGCGGCGTCCGCCTCAACATAGCGCTGGCTTAATGTTGCTCCGACTCGGCAGCCTAGAATCGCTACGTTGTAAGGCCTACCTGCGAATTCCTTTTGCGTACTTTAAGCCTGAGCTGATCCTACCATAACTCCAAGACGTTATTTACAGATCAAACATGTAGCGACGCCTCTTCGGAGCGCGGCATCGCAACTGTCGGAAGCCCAGCCTAGCGACATCAAGCAGTGTTTTATTACGAACGCTCCGCCAGAGTACAGCAATACCCTGATACCGCTAATACCCCCACCCACCCGCCCACCCACCGCGGCACGGGCGACCTCTGACCTGATAAAACACCGCGAGTTGCCGTCCGTCCCCAAGTGCACCTCGTACAGATCATCGGTCACGTGATCGCCGGAGGTGAGCGCCACGGCGGCCGTGCTGTCGGCGCGCACGAAGAAGCGCACCTGTCGCCGCGTCACCCGGCTGAAGTGGCCGTACTCGCCGTCATGGTCGCTGTGGTCGATCTCCTTGCCGTGTTCGTTCCCCATGTCAGCGTGCTGCAGGGGCGGTGTCAGGCTTAGAAGTGGGGTCGGTGCGGGTGGAGCCGTGTGCGTGAGCGCGTTGGACGCCACCGTGATTAGTCTGTGCATGCAGCTGCGAGCAGTAATCACTGCCAGGTTCTATCGCTGGCTTTGGTGTCGACGCCGGCGAGACCTGTGCAGTGGGGCATTGAACCCAAGCCTTTCGGCCAGTCGGTCCGTGTTTGAGCATCCGCCGCATCACGCATGCTGCACTCCCTATTCTTCAGCATACGCTTTGAAGTGCGGCAATCACTTTTGATTGCATCGAATGCATGACTGCATAGTTTTCCCTTGGATGCAATACCGAACAGCAGCCGAAGCGGTTACGGTGATAGGCTGAGCACCTAAGTAATGTTTGTTCTAGTGTTTGCTTTAATGGAAAACCGAAAAGCGGTAAAGGCGGTTTGAAAGACAAGCTTCAAGGTGCCTCTGATTGTAGCTGATATCACGCTAATGGATGGCAAGTGGTATGTAAACGTTCAAACCACGCGAGGCACCAAGATAGCAAATCATAGGGTGGTTGACCTCAGTGTTTGAAAAATCATGTAGCAAGCCATGCGGCACCAGTGATTTTCACCTTTATGTTTCAGCGTTCTACCTTGGAGGCGATGAGAATACACGCTATTCTCGATTATCATGCCTAAATGGCTTGCAGAGCAACAGATCATGGTGCATGCTTACAAATTAGGTAATTCACAAAACAAGAATCCCACGGCCACAAGTGGAAGGGACCTACTCCGAAGTTGGTTTTGGATTCTCCGCTTTCTGAGACCTTCCTTCATCTACAAAATAATTTGTTTGCGTTAACATTATGATCGAAAATGGCTAATGCTAAACAAGTATTTTGGCATATGAATTCCGTGGCACTAAAAACCTATTCCGCAAGCCTGGAAAATGTGAGCAATATTTGGGTTAGTCCTTCCATCTTGTGTAAGCCTTGCATTTGAGTGAGACCGACAACGGAAGGTTTGCGACGCTTTGGTCTTGCGCTCTGATGGGAGGGGTTGAACACATGGGGGTCCGCTCTGATGACGGGAGTTGAACACATTTCGCCGCGTAGGCTGTCTATTCATCTGTCACTAGAATACGGCGACATTCCGAAGTGAGAGGAGCAAGACGACTTGACCTCGCTTTCCATCGACCTGCCGGAGTCATACAAGCGACGTAGTCATGAGCGTTGAGCCGTCGCATTGGCGGGGACGATGAGGATACATCCCCCTGGAGAGGGTCAGGACTCCAAGAGGTCGCTATCCGGCTCCGATTTCATTTATTTGGGTTTTACACTCCCCCTGCACCTCGATATGCTGGCCGGGAGGCGGCGAGCGAACAGCGAGGACTGCACGTGCATGTACTCTGTGCCCGACCATCTGTGACCACTTTGACAGGGAGTGAGATGTTTGCATACTATATAGGCACAAGCGGTTTCCGCTTGCTTCACTGCGCGAAGAGACAACACCGTTGGCACCGGTAACACCGCCATTGCAGCAGCGCAACATTAACTGGTGTGCCAACGTAAACTGGATTTCAGGGAATGTTTCGAAGATGGTTAAGACTGATGACCACCGGACACGCTGGCCGTATAGCACCGTTCCACGCTCTTCGGATACGGAAGAAATATCTTCCCGGCATGAATCGGCGTTCTGCTGCGAGGGATCGCAACCTCATCGCTGCTGGAGCACTGCCGTATGTTTTCGGTCTTTTAACACTTATAATATAACCTCTTTATATATATATATATATATATATATATATATATATATATATATATATATATATATATATATGCATATAAATACACCAAAACTACTCCCTGTTAAATGCCAAAATGTGTCCTTCCTTGCACGCGTTGCGACCGGTACCGTCATAGGACGGCCGTAACATTACGTCGCGGATGGTAGGAAAAGTTAAATCCACCACAATGCGTAAATTTTGTCGGTTAAAAGTGAGAACGGACAAAGAGACGTACGATTTTAATATCGTATCTTATAAGACCGTTGATTTCTGTTTGCTTCGCCGCCCTGGGAGACGACGCGGTTGATGCTACTCACGCCCCAGGCGCCGAAAATTGGCTCGTGTATCAGCAATGTCGCGGGCGCCGCGTATTGAACGCATTGCCAGGCAGACATAACACGCATAGGCAGATAGCCGAGAAGGCGTCTAACGACATGCCAGCCAGCAAAGTGAACCTTCAACATAAGATATGCTACCTGCGCATTCACCCTGCGATCATTTTTCAATATTCAAAGCCTTTTTATAGGGCCCTAAGCACTCCATAGCATATATATATATATATATATATATATATATATATATATATATATATAGAACTGAGAAAGCTAGAGCCTTGGAAAACGGCATTTGAGAACTCTTGTCTCAAGTAGGCGTGGCTGACCAATGTTTAATGTGACCATTTATAGGCCAAACTAGGCCATAGAGGCACGATTAACGCTGCATATATTCCTGCTATCTCAAACGCTAAGCAGCTTACAAGGCGGAAAAACAGCATTGAATGGCCATTGAAAAACTATCCGACTAGCTGTAGTGGACATCGACAGGCATGACCAGTGATATGTTGGTTCGAAGATGTGAGAAGCATTTTGCATTGGCTCGTCCGGCTACATCAAGACTAAACAGGACAAAAATGGGGGGGGGGGGGGGGCGTAAATAAGGCCTCTCAAAATCATATGATATGCATCTTTCAGGATTATGTCGAATGCTAACTAAAATGCCAAATCTGCTCAAAGTATGACTTAGCTTGGGCTTGAACGAGCAGACCTTGCATAAACAATAAGAACGATAGTAATGTACTTCAAAGCGAAACAGCTAAGACAAACAGCCCACATATGATCTTTGGGGCTCAGTTCCTGCGAGAGACAAGCGTTACTTGCCAATGGTTGGCCAAACGTTACCGAGATGTCCTCGAAGAAGGAGTTAGGTGTTTCGACATGTGTAAAGACGCACTGCCGGCTGGGCCGGCGTCTCCGGTAGCGGCAACGGCGTGTGATGCGAGCGCAGCCGCTGCCGTGTCACCCGAGCCGGCCGGCCATTGCTGGAGGCAGAGGCGGAGCTGGCGCGGCAACAGGCGGAGGCAGAGGCGGAGCTGGCGCGGCAACAGACGGAGCTGGCGCGTTAACAGGCGAAGGCAGAGGCGGAGCTGGCACGGCAACAGGCGGAGCTGGCGCGGCAACAGGCGGATGCAAAGGCAGCTCTCGAAGCTCAGGAGCTGAAGGATGAAGCGGAGCGCCGCCAGCTGGAGCGGTGGAGCGGTGGAGCAGCCTCCCGCGGCCGGTGGAGCGGTGGAGCAGTCTCCCGCGACCGGTGGAGCGGTGGAGCAGCCTCCTGCGGCCGGTGGAGCGGTGGAGCAGCCTCCCGCGACCGGTGGAGCGGTGGAGCAACCTCCTGCGGCCGGTGGAGCGGTGGAGCAGCCTCCCGCGATCGGTGGAGCGGTGGAGCAGCCTCCCGCGATCGGTGGGGCGGTGGAGCAACCTCCCGCGGACAGTGGAGCGACGGAGCGGTCTTCCGCGGCCGATGTAGCGACGGGTTAGCCTCCCGAGGCCGGCGGAGCAGCGGCCGGCCACAGCCAGCCCTTGCGTGGCTGAAAAGCCGGTGTGGCTGCTGATGATAGTGTCGGTGTGACAGGCGACGGTGACGAGCGAGTGTTGCCGCGTCGGAGCGGACGAGAGCGAAGGCCCGTGCGATTGTGTACTTGTTGATCATTAGGATCAGGGTGGGGTGTTCATAGTGCAGTTGTTCTTTGTGTCCTGCGCCCCTGCTGGGGCGGGGCGCGGCACGTGGTCAGGTTCGCAGGCCGGCCCCGGCTGCACGGCAGAGGCGCGCCGCCGCCACAGTTCGCACGGCCTCGGCTCGCGGCCCCCGCTGTCGGGGAGTCGCCGTTGGGAGAGCAGCGAGGGCAGGTGCACCGTCAGGGGCCGCAGCCCCTGACGGTGCGAGACCAAAATACAGAGAAGATGTGGTGAAACACTTGGCGTCTCTTTACAACATGTCCTCGAAAAGTAATAAAAAGGTCGTGAATTGCCCAAGCCAGAAAGTTTCAGTTTTCACGTGTGTACCAATCATGTACATTCGCTCCCCAAAATTTCGGCACTATATCACTCCCTCACACAGCACACACTCAAGACCGTTCGGACACCATTCTAGAAGCACCTTGGGGCCCCCTGAGGTCGCCTCGCAGGGCGTGAGGGTCAGACGAACAGCCTAAAGTGAAGACCGCACGCAGCGGCAGCGATCCACTCGTGACGCGCGGCGATCCGCTGCTGCCGAGCCGTCGCTGCGGGTGCCGAGGCCGACTCACCTGCCATTCGGACGGGTGCTGCCGGCGGTGTGGCGGAGCCGGCTGCAGGGCCGTCAGGCGCCGCCTGCCTATCGTGCTGATACGGGACCGGCGGCGGCTGGCGCCCCGGATGTGGCCCGGCCGCGACGCTGTTTGCTCAGTGTCGCCCTGAAATCCCGGTATCGCGCGAGCGCACACGAGTGGTGGCCTTCGCTCCGATGTTATCGCCGCCCGGACCAGCAGTGGAGACCATACGCACCCGCCGCACAGCCACGCATCACCGTTCCGAATTTGTTGGAGGTTGCGATTGTTACGTTATATCTCATCAAGCTACGATCGGATGTAAGTGCCTGCGCGGTTAGGCCACTTAGAGTCGCTTCCGGTCGAGGGTGCCGGTAGTGTAGTGGTTAACGCGTCTGCGTTAACCACCGCGCGTCTGGGAAACTAGAGGTACAGGGTTCGATTCCCCGCGGTGCCCGCCCTTCCTGCCGGGGTGAGAGGCAGGCGACGCCATATAGCCTCAGCAGCTGAATGCGTCGTAAAGCCCCAATGACACACACACACACACACACACACACGAGTCGCTTCCGGTCAGGTGCAACATACAAACTGCATCTTACTAAGTACTCGCATGAGGCCTTTTCTAGATAGGTCGGGCTGCGAGGAGACCGTCCTGCCGTCGACCGACTCGCTGCAGGTCCTGCCCAGTCCAGCTCCTGTAAACATTTTCACCCGCGGGATGCAGCGGCCGCGTGGCCTTTCCGCCGTCGACATGGTGCGGACGCTCGGAACGGTTGACGGGTGCCGTCTCTGCTTCTGGCGCGGGCCTCGGCTGTGAACGACGCCGACATTCAGCTGATTCGGAGCGGTCTCGCTAGATGCGCTTGCGCGGCTGGCGGCCGCGCAAGCTCGGGAGGCTGAGGCCGGCCGCCGAGCGATGAAAAAACTCCGACTCAGGTGTTTTGGGTGCTATAGCGAGGTGGTGCGGATGCACAATGGAAAAGCTTTTATCATTCCAGCGCAACCCCTATGTAAGCCGTGGAGTTCGGCGACTCGAGGTACTCCGCACCGACGCCACACTGGGGTAAATTATTGGGGAATGGTCAACCAGGGTGGAACTCTGCGACCTTTACAGATGGGGTGGGGTGGGGTGGGGATGGGGGAGGGGCTCTTTAAGTGTTATAAGTGTCTAGACACGAAATTGGACTTGTCTAAAATGTGTGTTTCGGTACCCGATTTTTAATCGGGCGAGTTTTTGTCGTATATTGGTGTTCGGCATTGGAAACTAGCTGTTGAGTTTGATAATCCTTCGACTCGACTATGGTCGTGCACGAGCCTGTATTTCGTGCAATGCACTTTGTCAAGGCGAAACAAACGAAAAAATGTTTACAAAAATTAAATAGCAATGTTCTGTCATCTTTTCTACCTTGCCAAGTACTGCGCACGCAGTATGTGCATATTATATACATCTCTTTGAAACCTTCTTTCTATCGTCTTCGAGAAAAGGTCTGTATGTTGTGCAACGCTGCATTCAACATTTGCTCCGTCGCGTAACTTTTAAGTACGTAATAGTCATCACACGCAGGTGCATAAAACAGCACAGTAAAATGCTATAACACGCCAACATGTGCGACACAAAGCAGCTGATGTTGAGTGACACGAACGTTCTAATCAATTGCTTTGCCTGAGCAGCGTTTGCCGCTTTTGAAGTTGTCACTGAGACACATGCGATCTGGATCGCGCGAGGATTCGGAGGTCTGGGGGCATGCAATTCCAAACACCAGGGTTGCGGAACTCGAATGAACACGCCTCCGCGTCTCGGTATTTACCTACCTCGGGCAACTGGAGCTCAAGCAAATCAGCAGCTAAAGTCTCCAGAGATGATGCTGGAGCGCAAGTCGGCTCATCTTGAAAGCGCTCTAGGAGGTGACATTCGCCTTAATGACCTAAACATGACGGCCGCCCTGCTTCCAGTCACCGTCCCGCTGAAGTTCAGCCGCCACGAACGACCCAGAACCGGCGATTTGTGTTTGATTGCTCTAAAACCCGCACGGATCTGTGTACTAGTCGACTCCCTTTTGCACTTCGTGGTTCATTGCATCCACCCTATACAGTGAAGCGCACTGAATGCAGGAAAACACAATGGTCTCGATCAAAAGAGGTTTTGCTTCATACTGTGTATTGTGCCTCTTGTTTGACAGCTCCAGCCCGGAATTTAGGGTGCTTCCTTCACGCCTGGGATGGTATTTACTCACTTCTTTCTGGCGTGCCCATACGTGCCCATACCCAACCGCAACTCATTACGCAACAGTTGTACCCAACCGTTACTTAACTGTTTGCGTTCTGTCGGCACTTAGTTCTATATTATAGAACATTCTCGTGGAAATTGACACAGATTTACTGTTTTGGGTTGACAATGTCAAGATGCTGTGGATGGACCTGACCATGACTATCAAAACTAGTGTAAGCAGCACAGTGTTCTCGGATTTGCTACCCAATATTTCGTAAATGTCTCTCCCAGCCCGGTTTTTTTCCTCCGAATCTGTAGCTGACCCAACCCGCTACCAGCTTCACATGACACCCAAGCTATGGGTTCACCCAACCGCTACCTAAGCTTTCTGCTGTGCAACCATTCTGACCAACCCTGCTGCTTTCCTTGACCTTTTTCTGATAACATCCCAACTGCTAGCGATCGTGCATTGAAACATAAGGCAATTGTCATCTTACCATGATCGCCTTAGGTATTCCGTGCAAAAACAAATGTCAAGCTAATTGTGGGTCATGCCCTAATTTCGGCAAGACCAAGGATAAGTGCTGGCGTGATTCTACCCTATGCTTCTGAGTCTTCGGAAAACCTATGCAAAAGGCATAAAATCCTAGGTCACTCAACAAAAAACCAAATGGATCTTGCGTTCCAGAAGATCCTTGCCCAAAACTTCTCAATGGATTCTAGATGCTGAAGGATCCAGACCTTAGAATTCACAGACCCGATCTTTTGGTGCTTTGTCGTGTTTCGTAGCGTTTGAGCCCGACTCGACTCAAAATTATGCCTCAGTGCTCGGACTCAAAATCATAGTAAACCCCAATCACTGCGAATCATAGTGAGCATGGATTCTACAATCCCAGAATCAAGCCCACGCCTGCTTAAATGGAGCATCCCGCATTTTTTGTGCTTTTCACTTAGTGCTACATCAGACGGATACGATTTGATCAATGATATCAGTTTTCTCGACTCTTCTGAAGAGCTCAGAAATTCTATTTGAAGTAGACTACCCTGCGGGAGAAATTTCATTTGACTCCCTTCTCACCAATATGAACGTATTATATTTCAGTAACTTTTTCAGCGCGGGCGTTATGTAATCTTTGCAGTTTGGACAAAAATAGGCGGACATAAAACTTGTATACCGCGAATAAGACGAAACGTCATCCTATAGCTTTCATCTATCCCCTATGACATTTAACACAGCGGCTCTTTTCGAGGCGCTTTTTGTCTATGGGAATGGGAGCATAACCTCATCCATGTGGCAGGCCCTTTCCTACTGGGCCAATCACAAACGTTCTTTTAATCACGCCAACAGAGGTGTGCACGGCGTTTGTCATAACAACGGTGGTCGCAAACGCAGGGAAGAAACGTAGTATTGTTACAAAGCGTTGCTAGCGTGATTCGGACTCGAAAATAATTAAAATTGATATCCTTGTTGAGTCTTGATAACGCTGCAGCGGTACCACCCAGTGCTTTAATTAAACGTAACTGGTTCTGAGGTTTCACTACAATATTCTTTTTAAGTATGACCCAAAGTACCTTGGGCAGTTACGCGCAAAAGTGTGCGATTCACGCAAAAAACTACGACTTGTTGCATGGAGAAACTGACTAGGAATGGTAAGAAAATGACAAGCTTGCGGTGGGTGTCGCCGTAAATAAACAGTCTCTAATACTAACTGCGTCACGGCGCCCGAAAGTTGAAAAAGAAAAAAGTGCCCAAGAACCTAAATAACTGTTCAACAAAAGATCACTTGCGCATTTAAGGTCAGTGACCTTGTGTGACCTTTCAAAGGTCATGGTGACCAAAAATCCTACAAGATTGTTCTGAGTTTTGCATTTGAATAAGCGACAAAAATTACGCTAGGCAGTATGTTCCTAAAAAAAAATGTCGACCTGGGTCGTTTCAGGTCAACGACCTATTCTGACCTCTAAGAAGTCCATGAAAGATGTAGAATGCGGTTCCTGCTATCAATAAATTCGAAGGGAGCACCAGAAACTATCCTATACAGCAAGCCCTAGGGTAAAAAAACAGGTTAATTTGGATCTGGGTCTGGCCTTCATACCTGACCTTAGGCCCATGTAATTTTCTCATTCAATTGTTGTGTTGCCTAAGAAAGCATCTCAGAGATGTACGTCCTCGTCTAACACTCCGTTGTTGCATCAGATTGGACGATTCCCTAGAAACTGCCTTCGCGGAAACCATGGCATGACTTTTGCCTGCCATAGGTCAGCGACTTTACACGGTGCAAAAAACATGCTTTCCGGTACGTTGAACCTCAGCTAGTTTCTTGCATCGTAAATTACTTCGGCCTGCGTGCAGGTGGCATTAATGATGGCAACACACAGCTGAGCGAATTGCGCACGGCTACCTGTGGCGCAGCTCAGCTAAACGGGATTTCCAGCGCAATTCGAGCGACGGAGCTTCATGTGTTGCAGCAACAGATGTCTCGCGTGACACTTATCTAAAGGGTGACCGTCCGTAATCACCATGCTTGGTGCAAGAGGGGACACATTCCTCGGTGGCCATCTTGCACCCGGTGAATTAGGGGGCCGGGGAGCTGAGTCACAACCTTGACAATTTGACATTGACCCTCAGCGCGTTGACCAGAAAATTAGCCCACAATGTTTATCGTCCCACCCAACTTTGGAGGAATTCCATTGCCCCTGCCTGTGCCCACAAACAATCCAGCTCTGACGTCACACGCTCCCGGTAGTGCGGGGCACACAGCGCCCGACATCCCCATGGCGTGCCAGCAACTGCGATGGTCAGTGGCCCAGCTGGCCCGAATTTGCGCCCAGTGCTTATCCCATGAGTTAGAGATCATGCCCATACACCCCCCCCCCCCCCTCACGGAGAACACAGTGTCTCTCCTAGCCGTGTTCCTTCATCCCCATCCGTCCTGTATGCTCTGCTACGCTCGGCGGGCTATAGGCACATAAGAACACGTGCCCGATATTTACTGTCCGAGTCGCTGGCCTCCACGCAATGAGAAAAAAGGTGACGCATATGCAGGCTTTAACAGATCATCGCAGTGAAATAATAAACGATCCCACTTCACCGTGCCATTGGTGTCACGTGACACACCTACCTGAGCCCCACCCCACCTGTGAATAACAAGAGGAAAAACACCCGGCCGCGCGACTCAATATATTTATCGAGTATGCGAGCCACTGGCCTCTAGCGATTATCGTGCGTGCCATACCTCATAGTTTGGCCCTACTGCTGAACAGCTGAAGCCAGTCGTCCTCGATAACTAATCAGCTCGGCGTGCGACGGCATCACGACGTTCGATCAATTCACGGCGACGAACTGGACTGGAAATGAACAAAGTTCGCCTCCACAAAAATCCCTCGTGTGGAAAAGCTGAGGTTTGCAGACAGTGCAAACAGCCGAGACACGAGGGCGACAAATGTTTTTTAGGTTTGCAAGAATTAGTCGACGAGACATCATCCCAAAAAGCTAGTTAGTCCCTGTATTTAACATACATCTCTGCAAACTACACATGGACACCTGACATGACCAGCAACACAATGAATGCGAACCCAGCGATGGATGCCACCACTCGATATTGTCAGATACAAACACATGGAAAATCACCCGGCATCAATACTGTGCCATCCCGACCACGGTTGGATTGTAAATTCGGCACATCATTCCGTTTTCGTACTGGAAAACCCAATGCGAGCTCCACACAGGGTAATGTAACTTGTAACCGTCACATGTAACTCACAGTTCATCACATCCGCCCTTGTACGCACAAAGCAGAGTACCCAGAGCTGATGCTAAGGGGCTTAACACAACTGGTGTAAATTTGCGGACTCAAGCAAAACGTAGCATGCGCTCCAAAACATTGGCAGCAAATGTCATCCAGCGTTATTCGGAGGTTGCTGGGCAGCACACAGTCCGGCCGTAGTCTAAAACATTCCAACGCCATCGCTCTCCTTATTCTGGGCCTTTTCAAAGAACATGTAGTCGATGAGAAAGCAGGCGCCGAGCATCGTGGCCTTCATCTTCACATCTAGATCCATGGGAAAGCTGACCCCGAAGTTGTCCGCGTCGGTGAACGCCTCCTTCACCAGGCCGGTCCACTGCTTGGTGATCTTGCCGACCTTGTGGTTGCCGTCGGCCGACAGCACGTCGAACACCACGTCTCCACAGATGGACCACGTGCAGACGGGCCCCTCAATCTTCAGGATGGTGTTGCCGCCCTCGTTCATGACGTCAAACGAGGGTGAGCACAGCGACCAGTTCTGCTTGACGATGCCCAGCAGCGAGTGGTTGGAGAGTACCTCCATCTCCTGCAGACAGCAGGGGAAGAGGCAGCTCTGGCAGCGCAGCGGTCGGTCCAGGTGAATTACCTCGCGCTGGCTGTGGTCCATGATCTTGATGTCGAACGGTCGCGCCGGGCCGCAGCAGTTGCGCGTGCAGCAATCTGTGTCCTCCACGGCGAAGTACACCTTTTGACCAAGGCTGTTCTTGACCGTGTACTTGTTCGCCGTCTCGAAGCCAGTAAAGGCCTCCAACATCTCCACCTTTTGTTGGACAAGGAGCTGGTCGACCTGTGTGAGATACTCAAGTCCCGGGGGGCAGCCCGGGGGACCGGACGGCGCCGGCATCATCCCCCCGGGTTGCGGCTGGTCTACGGTTGGCTGCGGATACCCTCCAGGTTGTGGGTACCCGCCGGGCTGAGGGTATCCTTCTGGTTGCGGATATCCTCCAGGCTGTGGATATCCTCCGGGCTGCGGGTAGCCTCCAGGCTGCGGGTAGCCTCCGGGTTGCGGGTAGCCTCCCGGCTGGGGGTACCCTCCAGGCTGGGGGTAACCTCCAGGCTGGGGGTAGCCGGGATTGCCGCCGCCTTGCTGTCCACCGTAGGGCTCGTAAGACATGGCTGTCTTTTGTTTCTGTAACAAACATGATGCAATATTATTACTTGTGGTTTGGACGGCAATGACACCAGTTCACACAACCACAATATGGGAATGGATAGCAGATGGAAAATCACGTTGCTTTGTAATGAGACAGACATGAGATTCAGTTGCATTATCAGATTACAGGACCATGAAGGGATATCCATCACTGAACACCGGAGGTGCCGGCGCAACTCGTTGCGTCCCAAGGTCCACCCATGACCATGGGTTCACTCATGGGCTTAAGACTGGCTAAATTACCAGAGCGATGTTCTGCCCCGCTATCAAGGGCGGAGAAAATTACAACGATGAGCGCTGATGGCTATGGACGTTAAAAACGCCGTAACGTAGCCAAAAACTATTACTGCATAGCATACATAATATGCCATCCAACTATCGCGGCCGACTGTGTCTCATCAATACGTGCTCATCGTAGAATTGGGTAAAAGAAGCTCTTTAAATGAACACCACACAACCCATCCGGCACATGCAGATATGTGCGGCAACAAGCATCCATCTGATTCGCTATCGCCTTTTTCAATCACGTAACTAAACGACACGAGTGATTCTTTAATAAGGCATCAAGCTCTGGTTTCATAAATACAAGCTACGGTTAACGTGACAATCTCTGGCTATGCAAGTAATCTTCCTGTTCCTTTAATATTAGACCTTTACTAAAATAGTGACTTTGGGAACGACATTATTGAGAACGACGGTATTCCATTATTTCATTATTTCACGCAGCTTCAAAATTACCTTCCTATTGGGTATATTCCAGATGTCACTGGCAAAACCATACTGTTAACTTGGAATGCAGCAGCATCTCAAATTCAGAACATTAAGATTGGGCGAGTAGGCATTGCGTAGAAGGAACACACGTATGTATTTTATTCGAATACCCCAAATTTCTTATTGCACAATAAACCCCTTTAAGAATCAGGCAACCTCACAAACAGGCAAAGGTCCGACTAACAGACTACTATCAAATACTTGGGACGGACGGGCCCCAATGCGTGAGGCAGGTCGTATCGGTCGTGGGGAAGTAGGCATGCAAGTGGTCTGTGGTTCTCAAAAGGGAAAGGACTAACTAGCCCACATCGTCCGGGACGACGTGAGCTCACCCCACAATTTGAGAAACACACACAACTGCGTGTTTGCGTTTATCTTGAACCGCGGCACTTGGCCGCAACGGCAACGCCGTCACACGAGCTGCAGGAGACCATGTGCGACAGCCATACTCCTTAGCTTTTCCCATAATATAAGGGCAAGCCGTCGAACTATTTGGCCGAGCGCAAAGCAATCGCCTTATTGCGGGTAAATGCACATCAAAATTGGTACCTTTTGTCCGCGAAAACGGACGGCGGGCCTGAGCAGATCACGCCGTCAGCTATGACGACGGCAGCTGCCATGACGCACGGCAGTCGTGACTATCGCGGACTCGGTCAACAGTCTGAGGCTACCAAGAAAACAAAAATGTACTGCTGTGCCAAAACTTTGACAGCGTAATTTGGACTAAAAATAATTACCATCAATCTCCCCATTATATCTTGATGCTGCAGTGGCACTTCCCAGTGCCACTATCAGGCGTTAACTGTTCTTGACGTTTTACCAGAGCAGGTATTTTAATATTTACTCACGATAGGACACTCCCTTCAATCGTTGCTACGACCTTCCATAAAGCGCACAATTGTATTCGGGGCAAAACAGCCCCACCGCAACATTCCATCCTGATCCGAGTGTACAGCATGATTTCAGCTCATTCACTTAGTCTGTTGTGGATGGAGCAAGCGCGAACCGACGGTCTTGTTACTGTGTTGGCTGAGGACGCTGTTTCAGTTGGTCTGGACATCCTGTCCGTCCGACAGCTCGACTACTTGAGAGTTGAGACCCCTGCGTTCCGATTCACCTTGGCACGGCGGGGCGAATTGGGGCAGCTTTTAAGCGTTCGCTGTTTGCCCCGGACGGGGAGACAGCGGCTGCCGCCAGGGGCCGTGCTAAAGGTCAAGTGACGTCAGAGAGCAGGGCGTGTGTCACGCTCTAAAATCGGTTGAGGATAGGGGAGCAGTGTCCTATTCAGTTCGGGGGGGGGGGGGGGGTCAGTCCCAAAACTTGGGTTCCCATCCCCCTCCCCAACTGTCGCAAGAATATGAACCAAAACTGGGGAATCCTTTTTGGTGGCAAATTTAGGGGATAGGTTGGGCCATTTTTCACTGTCCAGTCCCGCCCCCTTGAACTCATTTCGTGAAACTACGCCCCTGGTTGGCAGGCTCAGCTGAAAAGCCCTTATCTGCCCCCAAAACTGATTTCTCCCCAGGCATGGTATACATTGCTACCTCATGTTAAAAATAGTATTGTACAGCAATCGTCGTTTACAAGGCAGAACACATCGTAAATAATCGTAAAGCAGGTCATCTAAACTCTTACCTTGGAAATTAAATAACTACGATAGCGAACATCCGAGCGCTGCAAACACGCAGCAACCGCGACCACGACGCCACTGCTACGCGTGATCACATTACTGCGCATCAAGAACTATAAAAATTATGGGGCCAAGGTAGCAAGAATCCAATGAAGTACGTTTCTTGCGTATCCAAGCAGTCTTCCGTACTGTTTGTAGATTGGTCGACATGGTGAGCAAATATGACGTCTCTGGGTGGGGAATGAAAAGCAAAATGAGAATATGGCGGCTAAAGAAAACTTCTTAATACGGTGCATATACATGGCATGGAACATGGAAGCCAATGGGACACTGGGATGCAGGGGATAGGGTGGGGAGGTTCGGTTAGGTTATGTTGAGTTAGGTCACATTAAGTTAGGTTAGGTTAGGCTACTTTAGGCTATGATGACAGAGAAACGGCCCTAGGGGCTCGAGGCGGTGAAGTGCGTGCGGCGCTCGGGAGCTCGCTATCGTAGTTATCAAAATTCGAAGGTAGGAGCATGAATCTACCTGTTTTATGATTATTTCTGATATGTTCCGCCTTAAACACGACTAATGGTGCACAATGTCTTTTTTCTAACATTAGGTACCGATGTATACCTACACCGAAGTCACACAAATATATCCTAGTTAATCTTGGGATCAATGATGATTACCGCCATTGCTGTTCGTGTGATATACCAGACTTTTAAAAGCTTCCGCACGTAGCAGTCAATGGTTCCTTATCCCGACCCATGTGTTCTCACAAAAACTTGCCAAATATTTGCAAGCAGGCCTGACATATGAAGGAGTCCGCATGGCAAAAACATTGCGTACCTAAAGGATACTACACCGTGCACAAAAAACAAGATAGATTAAACAATTTGTTGAAGGTACCTACTACGTAAGGTATCTACTAGTATGTACAGCAGTAGCAAAGATTACTATTCTGTATGTATTTGGCTCGGCAATTCGGCATTCTCTCTTTCCCCATGTACATTATGGGGACTCAGCGTGGAGCAGAGCTATCCAAGACCTTCGGCCAACAAACCGTCCGCCTAGTAGCCCTCCTGGAATGCAGAACTCATCGCGACCAACACAAACGAGAACAAATAAAGCCGGCGTTCCAACGGCGACCCGGAGCTGATCCGCTTACCTGTCTGGCTGACGCCGGGAATGGGGCCGCCTGTATTCAGCTCACTGCGCGGTATCTTGCGCGTCACACTATGACGTCAAACACGTGACTCAGCAGAACCTTGCGCGCGCTCAACGCAGTGCCCGTCGGATCCAATATGGCCGCCGAACCTGACCACATCCACCAAACGCGTTTCCCCCCACCGACCTCCCCGACCACCGCCTGCCGCCGCGTCCCCACTCACACCGCCGCGCCCATGGCCGGCGTACTGCGTTCAAGGCCCAGTGCGCATGCGCCGAGGATGAATCGACAGTGCAACCAGACGGCGAGCGCCTGGTGTCTGGCGGCCCAAGGCCCCATAAACAGCCGACGGGTTGGGGGCTGGCTTGCAGCGGCGGCGCTGGCGGCGCCGCCGGCTGTGTTGGATGGAGCGAGCGCCCGTCACTATCAACGTTGCCGTCCATTAAGGTCACCGTCGGCCTGGAAAGTGGGTCAGCACTCGCAGCCGCACCTACAGCGTCCGACCCGTGGCTCAGACACCTTGGTATGATCAGTGGCGTACCCAGGGTTTCGTCCGTGGGAGTGGGGGTGGAGCGCATCACTGGAAGCTGATTGCTAACGCAGAGCTTTTCTTTGACTGTTGGGAAGGATTACAAAATATCATAACACTTAAAATGCATTAAGAACGTGATGCATTGAGTATGAAAGTGTCACAAATTCACTAGCCAACAGAAATGACACGACGATGCCGGTGGCACGTAAAATAACGTTCGAAAATTGCGGGTTAAAGACCATCGGCACATATCCGATTGCTGCGCAAAGGCTAAGGCCCTAAGACATCCTGAAGTCTCGTACTTGTGTACACCGCATAATTTAGCTAGGCCTGTGCACAAGAGCAGGCGACACGCCCTGGCGCTCGCAAGCACATGTGGAGTTTTCGGCAACAAAGTAAGGTGCCTCTGATTTCATTGGAAGATCTCACGACTAATGTTGAGGGCCCCGGAGTGATAAATAGTACCCCGGCCGATTGAGATTTAGGGCCCCGTCAATGGCGTCGGTCCCCCGATAATATGGAAAAAACCTAAGGCCAAAAGGGACGGAACCTGAGCGATCGAGAGTGTCGGAGCAAGCCATTAAGAGGCCCTCAACAGCATAGGGTGCTCGCGAGAAAAACCCAAGACCAACGCGGTGGGCCTCTGAGCAACCGAGAATGCTCCGGCAGGTCAACATATGCAGCCCCTGGCTATAGCATATAGAGCCTTCCGGGGAATGTCCATGGAAGGCTGCTCATCGACGAGAGTGCCCCGGCACGCCAGCAGAACGGGCCCCGACAAGAGCGCAGGACCCTCTGAGCACATGCAAAGAAGTTAACTGCAACGTGTAATGCGCCCTAGCGATCGGACTGACCCCGCAGGTGACGTTTAAGGGCCCAGAAACAGCGTAGGGCCTCTGAACAGTGCAATGAGCTTTAACATGTCCCAATCATCACCCTCTCAAACTGCGAAAAATAATTTTTACCTGCTAATTAACCCTTGACTTTTGCTTGCGAGTATTTTTAATGGCCCGGAAGCAATACGTCCAATTTGTTGCGTTTTGTGTTAAAGATCTGCGTCTGCTCGGTCGGCTGTGGACCCCTGTGGAGCCTATGAGCTCCTCCGGCGCCCAAGTGGGGGACTTGGCCACGTGCCTCCTCTCCTGAATCCACCACTGAGTATGTCTACACCTAAGCCCCACACTTGAAGATATCGAAACATGCATCAGATATGATGATATTAGATCACTTATAACTATTGTCATACTTTCAAGCAACAAAGATTGCTCGAGACAACACAATTTCTTTATTTAGTAAACATGCTCCTCAATACGTTATTGTTTCGCCTACGTCATCATACCTCACACAGCATTGATTGAGAGCCAGGTGACGGCCGGTGCATCTGGCAATCGTGCTCACGAACGCCAGATACGAATGACTCGACAATGGACATTTTTCTTGGCCTTGATCGCCGCATGGCTTATGGGATGGCGGGATCTGAATGACGTTATTCAGGCGTCATCGATGCTTAGATGACTTTGAAATAGTCTCTCCGAAAAGTCTGCACATCCTCTCGTGGGTGCAGCTCAAAAACTAAAGGGGTTTGGGTGCTAAGGGAGGCACGGCTGTGAACTGTACTGAATGACTACCAAATTGGCTGTTTCATTTATAAAACAGTACCAATAACCTTGTTTCTCAGAGAAAAATCAGGAGAATGGAGGTATAGATGCGATACTATGCATTGCTATTAATTCTCATATTGGTTTCGATAAAGGTATGCTGCCGAAATATCAATGCATAATGCTGTGCATAATACCAAATAAGGTTATTACTACTGCCGAATATTATGTGCAAAATGTTCCGCGCAAGTGCACTTAATAACATACGTCATTTAGGTGGTATTTCAGTTAAAAACCCCATACAAATGTAGAACACAGACTCATTTTAACGGGCTGCAGGGGCTCGGACCCCTGAAGGCAGTCAGCAGGCCAGGCCATATTCCCTTTTGTGCTCGGATAACGCAGCACCAGAGCAAATTGTACCATATTAGAATCTGCGTTTGACCCCAGGGTGGCGCGGTCGTGACCCTGCGAGCGAGAGTAGTGAGACGCGGGAGGTCACAGCACGAGTGTGCCGCTCCTCCAGCAGCTGGCAGGACGCTCCGTGCAAGGCGCAGACGTCGCTTTTTACACTGTCTGGAGGTGGGATGAGCCCCTCAATGCAGTCTTGAGCCCCCCCCCCCCCCCCCCCCACCCATGCTCTACCTATCCAGGGGAGAGCGGATACTGGGCTAAATAAATACAGGACAATAAGCTGTTGGTATGTTAGGTAGCAAGCGCGTGAGCACATCACCATTAGTATCGCATTGATCTTGTTCCAAATGATGGCCTGTAGGTTTGCAATGTTGTTATGCTAACAACATTGTTTGTTATGCAATGTTGTTTTGCAATGTTGTTATACTAACTCCTTCATATGTTAAGTCAGTCTGCAAATTTTGGCGAGTTTTTGAAATGATAACGCCGGGATTGACATAAAGAACAATTTGCTGCAATATACGGCAGCTCTAAAAAATTTCAAAAGTACAGGGTGAACCCAATAAAAGTTAACGCATGTTCCCAAAACAGCGGCAAGTGCATTTGCCGCATAATCGTGACTGTGGTGGTAAGACAGCAAAGTCAGCAACAGCAGGGGTTATCAGTGATGCTTTAATAGGATTACTATGATGTTTTCTGTGATTACACCCAATTCTGAGGTTCGAAACCAATGCAGCTGACACCAACTTAAAATGGGAAGTTATCTCTGGACAGGAAAACAATTTTGAGCCTGCGAAATGCCAAAACAAGTTTTTAACATCGAGGATGCAAATTCAAGTGGCCAAATTCGGGGAGAAATCTGGTTATGGGGTCGGTTAGGTCAACCTTTTCGGTTAGGCCCCCTTCAACTAAGTTTAGAAAGTGTCAACCCTGGCAAGGTGCCTGTGCGAACGTCTCTGCCGCAAACCCCTAATGCGCGCGCCTCGGATAGATTTGACAGCATTGAATGGGAATAAGTTGGAAATCAACAGCTGTTCACAATGGACGCCAGCTGCGATTTGCATACCGGCCCCGAAGTTTTTGTTGAAAACTCTGTTGGCCACTTGCCTTAAACACGTCCGGAACTTTCAACTTATCAGGATCTCAGCCTTCAGACCAGATCAGATCAGGTGTTACGGTTGCAAGTTACATTCGTTGTTTTATTTCAGAACCTAACTAAAATGAATGCATTCTTTTAATCAGATGAAAGCATATCAGGTCATCCGATTATGCTTGGGTCGCCATTTGCCATTGGCCTTCAACCTCTTAACGCATAATTTTTCTGGAAAAGTGACAATCATACCTACAACCGTTTTTGACACACATCCCTGTGAAATCCATTTTTTTTTTAATGCGGCATTAACTACCTCCTAGTTATAACCATCACCATGGCCTCGTCGGACAAGGTTTATTACTTTCCACCCGGAGAGCTGCCGTACGGCTCATGACCGGCGTCTCACTGTCGAGGCTCAGTCCAGAGCCGCTCGTGACCTTCCGGGCGCGGCTATCGACCGACCGCGCCGCGGTCGCTGACGTCATCACACGTGACGGGACAGCACGGTTCTGTTGCACGTATCGTCAGAGCCCGCTGTCACCCGGATGTTGCCATGGGCGGCCGGCCGGATACGAGCATAACAGACTGTTGACGGCAATGCATGTCGCAATCTCGGACACCGGCAGCTTTCCAGAACAAACAATGACAGTGGTGCGAGTGTTGCGCACTCGCAGTTGCTCGCATTTGTCTGACAATTGATGTCTACGATAACCGGCTCACTTGATTAAAATGCTGGTTTCCGAAATTACAAATGACTTGATTGACTGAGATGCAAGTTTGGTGGGTGGCCTGTCGCATTATCGCAGCCTAAATGCCTGACACTGCAGCTTCCAATAGTTGTGCTTTACGCTGTAGTCATTTCACGAGGCAAATCGTGTAGGTAACCTTTGGCCTCCAACGGTTCGTGTGGCGACATAGACGCACCGCTCCCAGCAACCCACCCGCCTCTCCCCCACTGCCCAGATATTTCCCAAACGCGCAGCTGCTCTACCTCCGTTCTAGCCCTGTTTAGCCCACGATGTGCGAATGCGCATCACAGTCTATTCGCTATATCATCATTGCCGTTTTTCACCTAAATGCACGACCTGAATAGTCTGAATCTGAAAGCGAAATCGAATGTGGAGTTCGTTTACATGGGCCCATGCTTGAAATCAGGCTAGATCGTCTGGATTTCCCACCCACACGCAGAATTCCTTCACAAAGGCCAGGTTCGGTTCTGAATGATGTCGCCATTGACGATTGCCATAACGATCAGTGCGGTCGCTAAATTTAGGCCCCAGTTCCTGAATTAATTATTGGGCATAGCAACGCATTTTTGCAGCTTAGGTCATCGGGTCATCTACCGTCCACACGTCTCACATCGGTTTGCCGCTGCAAGGACAGCGTGACCTTCTGCCAGGAGCTCGGCTCGAGCCGCGTTCCTTGTTGCGCCCGGTGTGACGCGACCCCGGTTACTTTTAGCGGCAGGCTGTGTTGTGTTTATGCTTCTGACACGTAATCGGGCATCGCTGCGGATTCGACTCTGGTAAAATTGGCTCAGGAGCCCAGTGACAGTGAGCAGCCGGCGGCACCCCCTGCCAGGGCTGTCAACTAACGCTCCCCGTAAGGCACCGCCTTTCCGTGGTAGGAGGATTATGTGCCCCAATGATCCTGCGGGCAGTTGGGGAAGGTTGACAAGCGTTCTGTTGCGTGC